CCAGGAATCTAAGAAATCCACAAAGCACAGCTGAAAAATAACTGAAATCTGGCCAGGCTTGGTGGCTCACACCTGTAATCCCAGCACTTAGGGAGGGCGAGGCGGGAGGTTCACCTGAAGTCAGGAGTTGGAGACCAGCCTGGCCAATATGGCGAAACCCCATCTCTACTAAAAATACAAAAATTAGCCAGGTGTGGTGGTGGGTGCCTGTAATTCCAGCTACTCAGGAGACTGAGGCTGGAGAATCGATTGAACCCCGGAGGCAGAGGTTTCAGTGAGCCGAGATTGCTGCACTGCACTCCAGCCTGGGTGACAGAGCAAGGCTCCGTCTCAATAAATAAATGAATAAACAAAATATATTTATTGAATGTATTTATTGAGATTCAATAAATAAATAAATAAATAAATCTGATGACTGCTTAGTTTCCTTCCAGGTGGAGAAGTTGTGTCTCTTATCTCAGGGGCCTTAGCAAAGACCCCATTCTTGTGCTTATCTATCTTCCACTAGTACCCCAGATTTTACCACTAGCAGATTATCTTTCTGTGTTGCGTTTCCTTCATCCTGCTGTAAGCACGGTCACTAGGAAAAGGCAATCTTAAGCACTAACACTTCAGGGTGAATTCTAACATTTCATAGCCCTGTTTTGGGCTCTAGGATATTCACCACAGCACCCACTCTGCACGAGTGCCCTCCTAGACCCGCGGCTACTGTGGTTAATGAAGGTCTCGTGTCCTCCATCAAATGACAGTTGAGGAAGGGACCACCAAGCAGAAACTCTCAATGATGTGTCTGTGTCCCCAGGCTTACAGGTGTGATTAGAAAGAGGTCAGCTCAGGGACTCTGGAATGGGGAGGATTTCTTGAGAATGGATGGCTTCCAGGAAGAAAAGACACTTGAATCTTAATGTGTCAGTAGGAATTAGCCAGATAAAGAAGGGGAAGGAGAAAGTAGTTCCAGGCCGAGGGACCGTCTTATGTAAAGACTGAGAGATCAAGGGCCCTGAAAATCCAGAGTCCTTGAATTGGGTCCAGGGGCAACATTTCTGAATTGAAAGCATAACCTCTTTTTCTGGGGGTGGGAGAAGGATGAGGATGGAGATGATAAGGGAGACTTGGTTATTATTTTTTTTTGGTGAGTCCATCACATTTTTAAAAAAGCAATGCATGCGTGTATATATACGTTTGTCTCTTCCAAACCCTTTAATAATCCCATGAGCCTCCCCATTTGATAGATAAGGAACACTTAGGACCTGTGAGTAGGTTGGTCAGGGACTCAGGCAGATATATGTAATTCTAGAACCTGTTTGCACTGTAGCATTCTGATTTATTTCTGCTGTCTCATGAGGAAACAGGGAAAACAACAGCAAGAGGAAAAGAAAGAGAGGAGAGAAGAAGAGAGGGGAAGGGAGGGGAGGAAAGGAGAGGGAAGGAGAAGGGAGGGGAGGAGAGAGGAGACAGCGTCCGAAAGAGAAGAAGTTGCATGCAGGTTTGGAGGAAGGCTAAGGGGATATGGAACTTTCACCCTGTCAGGATCCAAATGGGCTCTGCCTTGTCCTCCCTTGAGCCCTGGCCCCAGCTCCAGGAGTGGACCCCTGCAATCTTCCCTCAGCACACTGCACAGCCCTGCCACCACCTGCACCCTGAGACTGGCTCTGGTTTGCTTTCCCAGATTTTGTTAGCACTCAACAAATACCATTGCTGAGACGGAGCAGTCACGGTGGCGTGGGGCTTTGGTGGAGGCCATGGTCATAACTCCAAGGGCATGATCTTAGGTACTGGAGCAGCACTTTTTGGCACCATGCTCATTGGACAGTGTGGCAGCTAAATGGGTGGGTCTCTGATCTATTTCATGAGGACCCCCCTTTAGACAATTCCTCTCTGCATGTCAGTCTTCTCACCCATAAAAGCTAGGGCTCTGTGATCCTAAAGCAAATCCAAGGTCTGACTGATTCCATCAATCATCCCAAACTAATTACGAGGTGATTTCAGAGTGGATTTCATGGTGCCCGGGTCCTGCTGCAGATTTATTTGTGTGTGAGGAGAGTCACATGCTCAGACTGGGTGGGCTTAGGCTAATTAATTTCCAAGGGCAATAGGACTACACATTTAGCCTTCGATATTTTCCTTGCTGGGGCTGGACTCAACTGGCAAGTTCAGCGATAATGCGCTGTGATGTGTTCTCTCTGGGCTTCCACTTCCCTGATGGAACGGAGGGCCTCCCTTGGCACAGTCAACCAAATTGCACCCAGAACTGCCATTTGAGTCTCCTCCTTTGGGTCTTTTACAGTCACTTATGTCTACTGCCCCTTTGTTTAACTTCAGATCAGTAAGTCCTGCAATACACCTGCAATGTGGGAAAGGGTGGAATGCAGGTGACTGAGCCCATGTGTTTGAACCTTCATCTATCTTTCACAGATGTAAGTCAGAAGACCCAGAAGTGGGGGCCACACCATGTTATCCAGTGCAAATTAATTAACAACTTAGTAGCTTATTTGTTTATTTATTGTGGGAAGGGTGTAGTGATTCACATAGGCATGTGAGGCAGGTTTCCTGGGTTGAAATCTTGATTCTGCCACCTCCCTTGCTGTGTGATCTGGAGTCAGGCCCTTAACCTCAGTTGTCTTATCTGAAAAATGGAATCATAAAATCCTCTCACAGTTTGCAGAGATTGAGTTCACTCATGCAAAGTACTCAGAACAGTGCTCTATAAAACGCATTAGCCATCATTATTATCTGCACTGAGGGGGACTATTGGCCAATTATAAAGTTTAAGCCAATGCAGGTCCTGTCCTCCAAGCTTATGGTCTAGTCACAGGAAATCGTTACAAAGGACTATTCCTCCTTCCAGGGTCCC